GCGAGCCGGAGGAACTGCACTGACATCTCCAGGACTGAAGCCATGTCTTCCCGCCGGCCATCGAACTGGGGCAGCAGGGCCCGCAGGCGCTCACAGCTCAAGGAGATCCGCTTCCTGCCTCCAGGGAAGTGACCACCGGCCATGGGGCAGTCTGGCCTTGACCCGGAAAAAGCACCGCAGCCACCAGAACCCCCTGAGCCCTTTAGGGATCGTGTCAGCACACACACTGGCCCAGGGCCCTGGACCCCAAGCTGCAGGCTATCCAGGTATTTGCCGCGGGCTGCAGCCAAGCCTGCACCGTCACTGCCTGGAGGTGTCGGTTGCAAATGCACAACCTCGAGGTGCCCAGGACTTCAGGTCAAAGAAAGGGCTGCACCGGTGGCCCTTGGGACCCCCACCCGCAAAAGCACGTGTTATATTCACCTCGGGGACGTACTAAGCGTTCCTTTACCCGACAGACGGCACGAGCCTGTCCCAGCCACCTGAAACCAGCTCGCGGGCACAAACCTGACCTCCTCTGACCCCCACCCCCACTGTGCGGCCCCCACCTGCGCTGCCTCTCGCTGAGCACGTTCCGTGGGAGGCAGGAGACTGGACCCTTCGCCATCGCAGGGGCCTTGGCCTGGCCTGAGCCGTGGCAGAGATCCTCGCAGCGTAACTGGGTCCCAAGCAGGAAAGGGCCGCTGCTGAAAAAAGCCAAGAGCGCCAGGCTCTGTGATCCCAGAAAACGCCCCCGGAGCCCCGAGGCGGTGATGGACATCTTGGGAGGCGGGCGCAGGACAAGGCCTGGGTCGCCCGGGAACACGGCCCTGGGCCCTACCTCTTGGCACCCCTCCCTCTTTCCCCCAAAGGGCCGGGGGTCGGGGTTCTGCCCCAGGCAGGCCAAGCTGGGTGGGGACGGGGATTCGGTGAATTTGAATTGGATAGAAGCGCCAGGTCTGGACACCCCGAGCACCCCCAGGCAGGGGCGTTCCAGCTGACCCCCTCCGGCAACCCCCCCCCAATTCTCACCTGCACCCCTCGGAGCCAGGGGCTCCGGGAAGCCCAGCGTCTGACGCAAGACCCCTGAACGCCATAGGCACGCAGCTGGAGCTAGTGGAGAGACCAACAACGCGCCCGGGCCCCCACGTGCGCCGCGCCCCGCCCCGCGCAGGCCGTCCTGCAGCCCCTCCCTCTCACGTGCACTCGGCCCACCCCCACGTGCTTCCCTCCCAGGCAGCACCTGGCCCGCCCCCCACGCGCGCCCCGCCCCCACGCGCCCCGCCTCCCTCACATGCGCTCTGCCCCGCCCCACGCCCGTGTGCAGTGAAGCTCCTCTCGCCGAGAAGTTGCCAGAAAGAAGCGGCGGCTGGGGTAGGTGGTCAGAGTAGGTGGGCTTCTTCCACCCCTTCTGGTTGGTCGGCCCAGCTCCCGCTCAGTGGGGTCTCCCGTCACCTACCCACCGCGGGCGCCCCCGGGTGCCAACCCCGAGCTGGGTGCTACCCTCAAGGGTCTCACGACTGGGGGGGCCAAGTAGACTGCGAATCTGTGGAGGGAGGGGCAGGAGGGTGTCCTCAGGGCGAGGTGGTTTTCAGGAGCGAGCTGGGCAGCGTCCCAAGCAGGAAAGAACGCGAGCCCAGGCGGTTCCCTGGGCTGGCACGTGGGTGAGGTGGGCAGGTAGGATCCGCTGTGTGGCAGGAGGAGTTGGACTTACCTGAGAGCAGAGGGGCCGGGGAGCTACAGGTGTGGGAGGAGAAGGTTTCAGGATCAGTGTGGTCCGTGGGGCACGTTGAGGCCCAGGTAGGGGAGCTAAGATGGGAGCGGGGAGGCTGGTCAGCCAAGATCTATGGGACTCTGGCTGGTTAAGGATGGGCAGAGGGGCCCCACCTGCCTCTGAGGGCCTTCAGGTCCAAGGTTCACTTGTGCCCGTCCCCCAAATGGCATCCTCTTGCAGGGGATGCTCTGCCTAAGCCAGTGCCACCGCCCACTCAGGAGCCAGGAGGCATGCAGATGCCTCCCAGCCTTGTCTCCGATCCCACGCACCCTCTCTGTGCCTTTCCTAGCACCCGAGCTTGCCTGAAGGCTGGCTGGCCTTCCTGCCTCTCCCACGCCTGCCCCCTGCCTGCCCCAGGCCCGGACCTTCATTCTCGGGGCTGAGCCCTGGCTCTGCCCTCACACAGGCCTTCGCTCCTGCTCTCCCTCCCCGCCCCCCACCTCCAGATGCAGACTCCCTCCACGAAGCCCCCGTCTCCAGCAGCTTCTGGGCAGGGGGCTCCCAAAACACCTCACTCGGCCCGCTTTTAGTGCACAGTGTGAGTGGTTCCAGGTCTGTGCACACCTCGCCGGGTCTCCAGGGGCCGTCCCAGTGCTGGACACGAAGCCCACCGGGGCTTTGTTGGAGGAGTGATGGAAGGAAGGGAGGGAGAAAGGGGAAAGTGGAGACTGGTCCTTTTTCAGGGAGGTGGACCTTTAAGGGGAGGGGAGGGTACTAAAGCTCTATTTCAGTCAGGAGGACTTCAGAGCAGTGCTGTGGGCTGCTGTGGGCGTGGGAGGCAGTTGCTGGGCGAGTTCACAGGGAAGCGAGGCAAGAGGGAGCTGGGGCAGGTGTCACTGCGGTGGTCAAAGTGCGCCCCAGGTGCTGGGCCTGGGACGGAACCAGGTGACAGAGCAGAGCCCCTGCCCCTGGGGAAGCAGGAAACCTGTCTCCAACCGAGGAGGGGCCCAGGGCTGCAGGTGGGCGTCCTGGGTTGGGGCTTTGGGCGGCGGGAGCACCCAGAGATGGGCGAAGTGCAGCCGTGGGAGGTCCTGCCACTTGAGGGCCTGGGCCCGCGTCTCCACTCTGCTCAGCTGAGTCCTGAAGGTGGCATGGGGGAGGGCTGGCCAGCCCAGGCTGGGGCCGCAGGTCAGATGCTGGGGGACTGGTGGGGGCAGTAACGTGTTGCACGTGGAGTCAGGCCATACAGGAGAGGCGGCAGAACCCCAGGAGGCCGGGCCTGGGATAAAGGGAGGGCTGGGCGGGGGACAGAAGTCGCCTCGCGATCGAGGGTGATGCTGTGAGGATGGGTGGGCCGGAGGTCAGGTTGGGGAGCCAGGAGGCCAGGGCCCATGTGCTAGGCCCGCACTCCCGACAGAAGGGGGCGCTCCAGGGCCTCTGCTGTCCAGTCCTGCGCAGCCCACAGCCTGGCTTCTGTGTTGAGTCCAGGGAAGGCTGGGGATGGCCGGTTCTGCCAGCACGTACGGCCCGGCATTTACGGGAGGTGCGAGAAGCCCGGCTCCTTGCCCTGGGAGGGTCCCCAGTGCCCAAGAGAGGGCAGTGCCAGAGCAGACCCCACAGAGCATGTTGGCCTGGGTGTCCAGGGGCACAGTGGGGGGCTTTGGCGGAGAGATCCCATCTGCCGGGCTGCCTTGCTGGAGCAGGTGGGCTGGAAGCCAGGGCCTGGGGCTCTCTCCCCTTCCTGCTCCTGGCTGGGGAGGGATGGACACGCCATTGTTCTGGGGCTTGGCTCCTACGTGGTAGAGAGGGGCCAAGTTTTGGTCTCCCTGAAGCTCTCAGGAATGTTACCGGGCTTGCCAGAGTTTCCCGTCACTGACAGCATGCCAGTCATCTCGTTGACCAGCCAGCCAGAGGGCACCTCCAAGGGGCCCACAAGATGGACACACCCTGGCAGGAGTCCTGGGGGAGGGCAGAGACCTGCTGGGGGCCAGGGGTGGGTGGCACTCTTGCAGCAGCAGCATCCTCTGAGGAGGAAGTAGGGAAAGTGCCCAAGAGGTAAGACTGAGGGTGAGCCTGGGGACAAGCTGCACTCCTTCTGGGGACTTGGGGGCAAGCCATGCCTTTGCCAAGTTCGCACACACACACACACACACACACACACATACACACAGTATCTGTTCAGCTTGCTGTTTTCTGGAAGTAAACAGGGATGGGACTTGAGACTCCTGCAGATGTCAGGACCACGAAGTACATGCCATGCACCCTCCAAATCAGCTGGCCCAGCTCCGCCCTGACAGCCCCTGCACTGACCACCCTGCTGTGGGTGGCTGGGTTGGTGCCCCAGGCCGTGAGGTGAGATGAGCCGCGCGGGTGATGCTGGCTCAGCTCTCCCACCCCCGCCTGACGCCGCAGTCCCTCGCCCTTCTTTGGGAGACGCCTCCCTTCCCTGTCTATTCCTCTGTGTTTCCGCCACGCTTATGGTTCACTGAGGGCCAGGCCAGCACTGGGGACAGAATAGAGGGTTCTACCTGCGGGGGCGGGGAGCAGTTGAGCCAGGGTGGCAGTGTCAGCGTGTGGGGCCCTCCAGCGGATCCCCCCGCTTCCTGGATGCCTTCCTTTGGGTCGTGGGGTTGCAGCAGGCTGCGGGCACTCCTCTGCCTGTTTGCCAGGTGCTCCGTGTGGGGCTGCGGCGAGAGCAGAGCAGGGCGGCCGCGCGCGCGGCAGAGGTGCCGGCAGCGGCAGGTGGCAGCGTGCGATCACTCGTGCCTCCAGGGGTCCGACCTCCCTTCCTTCTCCGGGCCCAGCGGCCTCCCAGGTGTGCCGCGAGGACGGACAGACGGGGTCTGGGTGCAGGTCTCTGCAGGAGTGACAGGTGCCGTGGGGGGATGGGGGCGGGGCAGGTGTTGATCGGCCGCCCCTCCCAGCGGCTCAGAGCGAGGGCAGGATCGAGCAGCGCAGGCGCCATCGCCGATGCTCGCGCTTTAAACAGGAAGCGCCCAGAGGCCCCCAGCCCTCTCGGAGCCCCTCCCACCACGCACCCCTGCCCCTGGGGGCGCTCTTAGGGTTTTCTAGCCTTTAAAGAGCCTCTGTCCGGTTTCCCGGGATTACGGGGGCGCCGAGCGTCGCGATGGAGATGGGTACCCGGGGTGGGATGCGGGCGGTCCCCCACACCGTCCCCAGCCTGGTTCCCGACGCGGCCGGCAGGGGGCGCTCCAGCACAGGCGCCGGAACCGACCCTGGAACAGGCTCTTTTTTCCCACCCCCACCGTAACCAGAGAAAAGTGTTTCAGGGCAAAGCGGGGGAAGAAGTCGCCAATCGCTCCCGACTCGTTTGCTCCTCCGCTCCGAGTCGCATTCGCCGCCAGCCCAATGCCGCTCCCGGACGGGGCGCACAGCCCGGGGGGTGTTTACAGGGGGGCGCGCGGCGGGGGCCACACCAACCGGACCTTCGTGTTCGACGACGGCCGATGCGCCGCCAGGTACGGTCTGCAGTGCCCTCCCCCACGTGGAGGGACCCCGGACGGGGCTCGTGCCACCCCAGGGCCCCTCATCCTCAAATCCCCACTTCCCAGGACTACCTGCTCCCCAGGACCCCGGAGCGTGGGGAGCGTGGGGAACAGGGGTGCCCTTCAGGACCCGGTCGCAGTGAGGCGAGTCCTTACTCAGATGACCAGCAGGTGGCCAGAGTGTGGCCATTCTTACCTGCGGGGCTGTGAGCATCTCCCAGGCACCACGAGGCGCAGACCCTGCGGGCAGGAAGCTGGAGTGCCTGGCATGCCAGAGGGGCCAGGTGCTGTGCTGGCCTCCCAGCTCCCTCTCTGGTCAAGCCTGGGGGAGGAGCCAGTGGGGGTGGCAGCGCTGTACCCAGCGAGGCACAGGGGCCAGGTTTCCCCAGGTAGAAGTGGGTTTTCAAGGGCAGCTCCTCCTAAGAGGAGCCTTGTTTGGGGTGTGGGGTACCGGTGGGCTGTCAGATGAAGGGCAGGAGTCCTGGGTTCTAGTTGCTTGGTGATTTTCAGCTGGTCACGTGTCTTTCAGGGTCCTTGCTTATTCATCTGTGTGAGGAGAGAATTAACTGACAGGGGCTTCCAGGTGGCCTGGGAGCCGACCTTCCCTGTGCAGTGTCCCACGATGCCACGAAGCTCCTGCCTGTCCAGGTGACTGGCACAGAGGGCACCGTGCCGGTGGGCGTCCCAGGAAGGGCAGAGTGGTGACAATCCCGATGGGGGTTTGCCCCAGGGCCCTGTCCTCGGGGCGCTCTCCCCACCCCACCAGCCCCAGAGGACAGGCACACACGTCTGCCCCTCACCCTGCGCCAGGACCCAGACTCCAGGTCACCCACAGCCGCTGCCCTGTGTGTGACCCTCCCTGACTGGGCAGAACCTTGGACTCTGGGTCCCGCTCGGTCAGCTGTTCTAAGGCCGGAGAAGGGGTAGATGCCGGGGTTCAAGACCAGGTGCTCCGGCTGTTTCCTTGTGGGACTTGGCTTCCCAGCTTGCCAAGTGAGTGGTCGAGCGAATGGTCTTTAAGGGCCGTTCCTGGTGAGGGACCAGGACCGGAAGGGGAAGCTTCCAGCCACATGTCAAGGGTCAAGGTGGTCCCTCTGCAGGGACAGCGCAGGCCTGGCACCCGTGGGGTCCTGGGGGCACAGCTTTGGGTGAGAGGCAGGGGCCCCGAGAGCAGGCTGTGCAGGTGGTATCCTTGGGAAGTGGAGTTCACCCCGTGAGGTGGGCACAGCCTGGACCTCCCTTGGGCTGCCCTGAGGGATCAACCAGGTGGCGTCTGTCAGGCACAGAATAAGTGACCAGAGAGGGGTCTTGTGACGTGGTTCGGATGCCTCTCTGCCCATCTCCCTGCTCGGACAGGTGTCACCCATCTTTCTGGCGACCCGTGTCCAGTTCCCCTGCCCTACTTGACTGCCTGCTGCAGGCGAGGTAGGGGCTCGGTCCCCCAGACGGCTCTGCGTCCGCAGGGACAGCGCTCCTCTCCCCTGGTCGGAGCTGACCTCTGACCCTGCAGTGATTTGCCGTCATGCTTCAGACACGTGTGGAGTGGCTGCCAGGGCCAAGGGTATGTCAGGCAGGCTGGGTAGGGACCCCCCCCCCGACCAGGAAGGTCAGGCGGGGTAGAGATCCCCACCCCCTGCCCAGAGCAGGGGAGACTGGCTGAGAGGGGAACCTGGCTGGGGTGGGGTGGGGCAGTGGAGGCCAAGGCTGGCAGCTCAGGGATGTGGGCTTTAGCTCGGAGAGGGAAGACCCCGTGTAGGTGGGTGAGGATCCAGGTTGGTGGAGCTCGAGGGGTGGATTCCTGCACCAGGTTTCACAGCAGGGTCAGCCCTGGAAACCAGAGTCCTAGCTTTGCACCTTCCCACTGGAACCTCCTGGTCCCCCAACAGCCCTGCCTACCCAGGGCCAGCATGGGACCCTCTGGGCCCCAACGGTGGAAGGCGCAGATCTAGGGCTGGCATCCCGCCAGGGTGCATGTCTGGCTGGAGGTCACGGCCAGCCCTCCCGGCCCATATTAGGGAGCGGTGCCTGCGGGGCAGCAGGAAGTGGCCCAGGATCCGTGGGAAAAGGTTCCCAAGGCCCGAGGTACAGGCCAGTCTTGTCCGGCAGGAGGGGCAGCTTCCTGGTCTGGGGGCCAGAGGGAACTTGGGGGTCTGCCTTCGGCCCGGGGTGGCTACGGCCACAGCTCGGGAGGACAGAGGTGAGTGAGCAGGGGATGGGGTGGGGTACCCGCTCGGAGCTCGGCTTGTGTCCAGCGCGGGTCCGTGGGTGTCATCTGTGCGCTCACGCGGGCTCCGTCCACCGTTCACACGGGTGTCCCAGCCTGTCCATGTGTCTGACTAACCCCGAGTTACCTGGCACGACCCTGCTTCGGCAGGGGTCGTGCTTTGTTAGAGGGTTTCGTGACTGAATCATGAACTCTGCCCTGAGGCTTCTCCTTCCGTCCAGAGGATGTGGGGATTTGCAAGCTGTGCCCGGGTGTGTGGAGCCCAGGGTGGAGCCCCGAGATGGGTGCTGGCCCAGGGGCAGCGCCTGAGGGCACGGGCGCTTTTAAAGGAGTCGTGGGAACTCTGTGGGCTGTGTGTGCGGATGGGCCACCCATGTTCACCAAAACCTCTTCCTCCTACCGTGCTCGGGGATGGGGAGGCCTGGCCCGTAGCCGAGGCCCGTACTAGACGCTGGCAAGTTTAAACCATTTGCAGAGGACGAGGCAGGGTCAGTAGGCCAGCTCCGGGCTGGGGTTCCTGGAAAGGCCTTTCCTAAGAGGTCTGCTCTGCGATTTAGACTTCCCACAGGGGGTATGTTCAGGGGTCCCTTGTGCAGTCTCTCTGGCTGTGGCCAGCTTGTCCTGCATGGGGCAGTGAGCCCTGGAGGCCACCCTGCAGTGCCAGCCTTGCGGGCCTGGGATGCTGCCCTGCACGTTGACGATGACGTGACCAGAAACGCCCCTCCTGCCCATAGGACAGCCTCCCGCCCCTGGGGCAGGCCCCACGTGGGCCTTCAGCCATCTTCACAGAGACCCTGGATGTTGGGCCAGAGGCCGCTGCGGGACACCTCTCGGCAGGTGTCTGATCTTGGGAAGAGCTCAGAGTCTTAAATCAGGGACGGAGGCCCCAGGTGCCAGGCGAGTGCGGAATTTCACCCCATCTGGCAGACATGGGGGCTCCTAGGGTGTTGGGAGAGCTGACCCTGGAGGTCCTGGCAGATGTCACAGGACAAAGGACAGGGAAGCCAGCCGGGGAGTTGGATTCTCCGGGACGTGAGGCTCTAAGGAGAGGGACCTGCTGGGTGTGAGGTGTGGGCAGGGTGTCCCCACCTGGGCCTCAGCTTCCAGGCAAGGCCCAGAGTGCCCCGGCAGGCCATGCCAGCCCTTGGAGCCTGGTGGCTGAGCAGGGACACGGTGGTGCCCCAGTCCCACGGCCATGGGAGTGGGGCACACAGGGCAGCCTTCCGCCTCAGCCCCCTGCAGCTCGGCCCAGGCCTCCCCCGGCACCTCCCAGTGGCCACCACGCACCCAGCCAGGGGGCGGGCACCCAGGGGGTGAGTGCTGGGTCTGCCATCTGCACGTGGGCTCGCTGCCCGGCACTGAGGGACCCGGGCACACTGCGTCCCCCGCGGGGGCGTGCAGCATGGGCTCTCCCCAGAGGTAGATCCAAGCCTAGGTGAGCGGCCGGTAGGGTGGGAACTGCAATCCCCGTGGCTTCTGCCTCCCCTGTGTCCGGGGGGCGGGCCCACGGCTTGGGGAAGGCCAGGGGTGGTGATGGCGTCCCCGTGGCCACGCCCAAGGCCCCGTGGCCACACGGCTACCAGGCCCCTCCTCGCTGTCCTCTGGGCTGGCTTTGTGCCAGGGGGTAGCTGCTATGAAGTGTCTGTTTCGATAGCTCTCCAGCTTGAATTTGGCTCAACGACGACGTGTTCTGAGCTTCCCCTCTGGGATCTGATGCAGCTCGGAGACGGCGGCGAGCAGCCGTCCACGGCGTTGACTCAAAGGTTCCTCCCCTAGGGAGAGGGTGGTCCTTCCCCAGACGTGCACCCCCGCCAGCTCTAGGCAGCTTGAGCAGCTCTAGCTTTTTTATTATGGTGGGTGTCGCGGTCAGCAGAGGGATTCGGCGGTTTTCTGCTTCCCCGGGCACCCAGCCCAGCGCTCGACTGTCTGCTCCCCGACCCTGGTGGTGCTGTGACGTCTGCAGGACTCCCCTGCGGGGCACTGGGCAGGGATGTGTGCGCATGTGCGGGCAAACACGTGTGTGCGCATGCGTGTGCACTGTGCATGCATACATCCACGCCTGTGTGCACACAGGCGCACACACAGGTCCATGCGTACCCACGCATGTGCACACACGTGCACACATCCCCCATCCCTCTTGTCAGTCATAGATCTCCAGTTTCCTTGGAAATTTTGAACCAAGTGTGAGCTACTGAAGAATGCATCTGAGGAGAGGGAGCATGTCTTTGAGCCCGAGGGGGGTGTCCCTCAGTCCTACTCCGGGTTGGCTTGAGCACTGCAAGCAATCTGGACTCCTTTATAAACGAGCCTTGGGGGGGAGAAGGGACATTTCCCCAGGATGTCATATGCCCTTCCTCCGCAGAGACCGGCCCGTGGCTGGGCCCAGGACAAGGACTGGGGCTGCGGCTGCAGCCTGGTGATGCGTGGGGAGAGGAAGGTCATCCTGGCGCTTCTCACGTCCAGTAACTCAAGCCTTGCTCAGTACGTCTCCTGGTGTAGCAGCAAGGTTGAGGCACAGCCCTTAGCTCACCGTTCACCACCCCCACGCCCGCCGAGCTGTCACTGTGCGGTGGGGACATCCTGCACACCTGGTATGAGCCAGGCAGCTAGAGAAAGCCCCATCTCACTGGGGTCCTCTCGGAGCAGATTGTTTAGTTTTTAACCTAAATGGGATCCTTTGAGAGAGCTGTTCTTTTGTAGAGACGTGTCCACTCGGGTCACTGGGACCTGCGTGTTCACAGCGCAGCAT